CCGAGGGATCGATCGATTTCTAAAAAATATAAGATCTGTTCTAGCAATTCTGGTAAATTAAAAATATTTAGACCCAAAGTGTCATGATTCTTTGAATTGCCTAACGGTCTGTTCCGCAATAGCTGCGTCATTCTTAAGTTGTATATTATTATATATCTTTAATCAGAAAAAAGACACATGTTCAGATAATTATGCATTTTCTTACTTATCTGGTAAGTCTTTCCAATGTGCTTAACCTCTCTATTAGCTTATCCAATGGAAGCTCTAATTCGCATCTTCTGGCTTCTATCTGATTATCGGGTGACAATTCACGAAGAAAGAAATATCTAAGCTGTTCTCCATTGTATTTGGCTAATTTGTCACATTTTTCTACTTTCCTGTAATATTCTATTATTGATTCACTATCTTGTCTTAAACCTCCAAATTGAAACTTTTGCATATTGGCGGGTCCTGATGAAATTCTATTCAAGTGATCAACTATTACATTCAGAAGTTTTTTAAATCCGAACTGGATCATATCTTTTTTATTTTCTAGTAATAGACCATTGAAGAATTTTTTCTTAAGGTCTTGGTTATCTAAGTCGATATCCAATACCGTAGCATATAACTTTATTTGATTGAAGTATTCATCCACAGACTTATCAAGTTGTATAGGCGGTGGAATATCTTTAAACTCTTCGGGTTTGAAAACTGGAAAATTTGAATATGATCCCAATTAATTAATAGTATCCTTTGAACCATAATCTGAAAAAGATCCTCGCATTGTTTATTTTAAGAATATATATATATATAATGTATTTTTTACTTCGTATTAATAAATAATTCCTTATTTACAATGACTGAAGATAATATCAAGCCTGTTACAAAAGAAACAATTGTTAAAGATAATATCAGCAGAGCTGACATGGCCAATCCTATCTTGTACCAAGAATTACGTGAAAATATCAAAATGGTAATCAAGTCTTTAACAGAGCAACAGAATACTATCATGGCGATATCCAGTATTCGTAGACAAGTAGAGAATAAAAAAATCCAGATTTCTCTCTGCCAATTACTGGAGATAGTGAAACCTGAGATTCAGCAGGATATTATAAACTCGATAGCAAACCCAGATATTTCTCAGAGAAATCGTACGCTAAAAGAAAAAAAAACAATTTTTAACGATACCGCATCTGAGTCCTCGTCTGAATCTGAATCTGGGTCTGGCTCTGAATCCTTTTATGATAATGAAGATTTTACTGTAGATATGGTAAAAGTGGAGAAGCGCAATTAATCTTGATCATAGATATGAAATCGTCTTGCTTGCTTATAAGAAACTCCTCTTTTTCTATAATTGACTACAACGTAATTTTGCACAGGAGAAGTATGATTATTAGATGAATGACGTAGACATTCTCCAGCAATTGTATAAACGTGGGCCATTATGTGCTACTGCACTGTAAACTGCTCCTAATTTACATAAATATTTAGGAATTAAATCATAATCTTTTAAGAATTTATTGAACCATTTAACTCCTGGCTTACCTGGATCACACATTCGTCCAGATGATATAGCATGCTGAATCCAAGTGAGTAGTTCTTTGGCTCATTCTTGATTCTTTTCTATCGATCTAAATTTTCTGGGAATATCTGGCTAACCTCGATTCTTCGCATATCCCATCACTCCAGCATCTATAATGCGTAAAGTTTTAAGTTCAGCAGAATGAATACAAAGCATCACCATAACATCAGCAAGAGCCTGACAATCAGGTAAAGTTTTAATATCATACGCATCTAATCTT